ACGAGTAGCTGGGGTTGCCTCCTTTCTGATTCCGGTACCATTAGCTCCAGGCATAGCATGGCGGTTTCGTTTGCCGATCCTATTGTGGGAATGGGTACGAGTAGCTGGGGTTGCCTCCTTTCTGATTCCGGTACCATTAGCTCCAGGCATAGCATGGCGGTTTCGTTTGCCGATCCTATTGTGGGAATGGGTACGAGCAGCTGGGGTTGCCTCCTTTCTGATTCCGGAACCGTTGGCTCCAGGCATAGCATGGCGGTTTCGTTTGCTCATCTCGGTGTCACGAGCCCCAACCATCCGGCTACTCAAATACTGAGCCTCATCGGTCCTGCCAGCTAGTTCCTGGGCTTCAGGAGTACAGGTGACTTGCTGAGCGAGGCTGAGCAGGAGCGTTGCCCCGAGAAAGACTTGTTTGATGCCAGCCATTTTTGAATTGATAAAAGACTTGGGAGAAAAAGATGAGTGATCAAAGCCTGCTTGGTCACTTCAAGAAGAGAATATATGTCAGAACAGTATGGAAGCGAGAAATGGTACAACAAGGAAATAATGAGAATGGAAAGAAAACTGAAAAGGTGAAGGTTTGAACTGATGATGGATAGATCAGAGGCAAAGGTAATGCCAATCTTCTTATACTTCTTTTGCACAAATGGCATTCAGAGTATATCTGAATGACTAAGCGGGGTTAACACCAATTGATACCTTAAACGGAAGTCAGAGAAACTTACTGGGGTACCCCCGTGCCAGCTACCTAAAATATCTACCGTCTTACAGAGTACTTTCCTACCCAACTCCTTGACCAAATAAGCTCATCGTTACGTACCGTGTTTCAGTATGTCTCCTCCAGATTTTCCTACCGAAGGACTCCATAAAAGCCATGCAGGTACGGCGTAGCAGTGTTGTAGTGTGGGGGAACAGACTACCTACTTCAGATATACTGAATAGTCTATTCCACAACACTTCAGATACTCCCAAAGACATTTTCTATAAGAGATATCAAGATGACAAATTCATTTATTTTCAATCAATCTAATAATATAGATATCGTATCAGAAAAGCCAATCTACGTGAATATTTGCAAGTCAGACTACGATACGCAAGGGTTGTGATCCAAGTCTAGCGTGGTAAGCAGTGATCGAGTATGGAAATTATTTCCGCCTTTAAATTGCTCCGGCATTCCCACAGCCTGGATTTATGCTAGTCCGTGCGAGAAACTAAATCAAATGCCGAAACTTAATACACAAAGCCGATGGATGATGGAGTAGTTGCTTGGATCCTTACCTAGGTACCCACATACGATGTCTAAACTTGGAACAGTGACCACGGTAGTAGGCTCGATCAAGCCAACCAGCTTCGGTCCCGGTATGGGTAGAAACATCTCCCTGAGGGTTCCAGTGCTTATAGCCCTGCCGGCTGATGACGTGCCTCTACTAAGCTTATCATGGTCTGATCTCTTGGGACGTTGTCGTTCGTCAGCAGACCAACTGAAGACACCAAGGCACTCGACCGGGTGCCTTTTGAGAAGTATTATTACTTTTTTATCTCATATCTATAACAGTCGAAGATTAAGACATAGCGAGAGTTAAGGTTGATTAACTTGAGAAGAGTTCTCCTCAGGGCTATATCTAAAGGTTTCCATCCTCCAGCCTCAGCCTAAGTAATAATGTTTTTGAAACTTCTGTATACCCTCACAGCCCTTTCAATGTTTCTTAACACCGTCCTCGGATTCTGACGGGCGTTCTGTATATAGCTTACCGGTGAGACTACTCATAAGGCTTTCATCCCGAAAGGTAGAGGCCGAGCGATAGGTGATGTAGAGAGAGGCCAGAATAATTCCACCAACAAGAAGTAAAACGTAAACCTGGGACCACCATCCGGGCCTAAGAATGGTGAAAATTCGAAACGATAAGACAGGTGGCAAGGTGATGCCACAGAACATGTTTCATAGCGGCGACTACCCTTGCCACAAATGACTGGTGTTGAACAACTTCCATCTAATTGATGGTATCCAGCGATCTGAATCATTCCGTCTTCGAAACTGGGCTCTATCGTACAAATCACAGGCGGAGACATAATCTTCCTCATTTTCTCGCATGTCCTATACCCAGTGTAAAGTATATAGCTGATGGCCGATGCTAAAAACGTCCTAAATGGGTGTCAGAATTAAAGGCCCTTGATGACTGGGGGACTAAGCCTTGGCATTGAGAATAGCAACTTGCCCCATCTACCCTAGAACTTGGTTTCCGGAGGTGTATAGCGAGAAACAGTTGTATCATGATAAAAGCCGATCCCCAAATGATACCACTCGGTGACACATCTGGTTGTTCTGCCTTCTCAGCCCAACCTCTCAGACAAATACCAATAGTAGCGGGAACAAGGCGTAACATTGCAGCTCTAAGGTTTCTTGTCTGTAGTGAAGAAGAACACAACACCCAAAACCATACTTCACCTATGATCATCTGGCGATAACATAGTTTTTCCACCAACAATATATTCGAGATTCTTGTTTCTTGTTGGGTAATGGTATCAAAATTCCAGTATTTGGGGCTGTAAAGGTCTGCAAAGACGCCAACAAGGAAGGCCACATGCCACCTGCAAGTAAACGTGAGTAAGTGTGCAATCATGATCCGGGACATCTCGTACGTGAAAAGCACCACGGCTGAACACCTCATCCACCATAAACGGCTGAGAATCCCGCCTAGCTTGCACCCTAACGCGCGATGCGTGATGACCACAATGCCGAAAGCAAGATTGAGCGAAAGAAGAAATACAATAAGATATATTCCGCCCAAGGGGGTCTGGGATATGTATGTCCACTCCATATATGATGATGAAAAGGCACCGCTTTGTCCAGGTGGATTGTGAAATTAGCATACTGAAGCCAGAACTTCGCGAGTGCCTTGGTTTATGATATAATGGGAGTATCTTCTAATGATACAATATGAGCTGGCGTGATATGGAGGCGTAGACTTACAAATGTCCCTTCTCAACACTGAGGCAGCCAACGCATACCAATCAAGTTCACAGCCACTGCCCACCTGATTCAGTACTTATGCCTGACCACGGGTTGGCTGTGACATGCTTACTTAACAAATGCCGTTCTAACAAAGAATCAACTCGGGCAGAAACCAAAGTTCTTGTCCTAATATTGGGGAGTATTTGGTTCGTAAATTCCCAGGGTGCCATCCAAAGTCCCTCCACGTTTATGGCGCAGGGACTGAAGTTCGTTTAGTAGATAGCTTCAACCACTTATATACAAGACATGGTTAGCTGTCTCGGAGGTTAAGGGTATTTTTTCACAGCCTTATGTTGATTTTAACGCAGGGTCTTGAAATGAAGGAAAATAATAGTGAAACTTGGAAGATATACATAAGTTAATGCGGTCAATTCAGTCATACCAAAAAACTTAGTTAAAGGCCGTCAACTTTGGCCTCGGGAAGTAACAGCATGTTTGAGGAGAAGAGTTATATTCGAGCCAAAGCTAACTTTGTGAATAATAATATAGTTATCTTAAATTTTTTTTCTATTTAATATAAACAATACCAGCGCCATCCTACTTGCTAATTTATGATAATCTAATCAAACGATGCGACCCATGCGGAGCGCAGAACAATAAACGCCCTCGACTTGATGTTCTTCTTGAAGTTTTTGACTTTGTCACACCCGCCACCATTCCTTCCAAACCAGTTCATTTTCTCGTAATAATAAAAGCCAGTGAGCTTGGTCTCTACAGTTCTTCAGTTTTGTGAAAGACAAACCAGCTCATGCTTGCCACAATTTGTCGCCAAACAAGGAGTCTGGCTACTCCCATTCCGTGATCTCCCACTCATCAACGTTATCGGAAATGGTCAACCGATGCTGATCAATCTTCCAGTAAGCGTACAGCGATCTTGTCGACATGGCAGCCTTTCTATGCGCAGGCCCTCGGCCCCCGGCAATGGCGTCCTCTCGACTTCGCCAGAGGCATGTAGCCAAGTTCGCCAACTGCGAGTCTGGGCTGCCGAACCAATATCTACAGCGCAAAAAAGTCAGACACTTGCATTCGATCCATCCCGAGGAGGCTTGGAGTGAACTTACTTGAGAAATCCTCCACTCGCGATAGCCTCAGCGTGAGCAGCCTTGTCCAGCTCGCCCAGATCCCCATAATGCGTGTCCGGCTTGATCCTCGACCGGAACGCAACGACGTAGAAACTCGCCTTCTTGAACCCGCTCCCGGATTCCCTAACGATGGCTCTTAGCTCCTCAATCACCTCGGGCCAGTTGAACGACTCGACGTAGGGCGCCGTCGCGTAGTCCTCTCGGACGTTGCGTAGCTTCGCCAACGCCCTGGCGAGCAGCGCGTTCTCGTTGTCGAGGGTGTCGAGGTCCAGGAGATGGTCGAACTCCTCGTAGGGGGACTGGACGAGGTAGCGTCCTTCCCGGGGAGGGGTGCCGGGGATGAGCTCGATCTCAATCTGGGGCTCCTTCTCGCTGGCGAGGGTGAAGTCCACGGGCGCCGAGTTGGCGACCTGCACAGACATTTTGATCTCGGCGTCCTCCTTCTCTGATGCTTACGCAGGCTGTTGAATGGCGAGGTAGCGTGAGGCACCTTGATCACCTGAGCCTACGGAAAGAGTCTGCTGGTTTGGCGTGTGGTCTGGGAGAAAGCTCTATACGGCACGAAACTTGCGGTTTAAAACTCCAAGGGAAAAAAAAACTCTCAGTAGAAGGGTATTCGAGACCGAGAAGGCGTTCACTTAGTCGGGCGTGGGTGGATAGCTACGAGTCAGGACAGTATACTCGGCAACCTGCGAGGATCTCGGGGGAGGATTCCCAGTCCCTTTTAACAGACGGGGTGCCATGACCGCGAGCCTACCGGTAGCCGGGCACGAGGGCGAGATTCGTCATTTGGACGCATGGTACTTGGTCTCTCAGGGTCCTCCCCACTTCGCCCTTGGACAATGGCAGTGGCAGCTGAGCACGAATCTCTTTGTCAGGCAGAGGCAGATGGTCAAGTCGCGGGAAGAGGCAAGGGCAAGGGGCTAGTCCAGCCTCAAGCGCGGAGCCAAAGGGGAAGACAGATCTAGCACGCAACAGGGAGCCAATCGGAGACGACTGATTGCCCAATTAGTGCAGATGAGGTCGTTGGCTGCCGCGGTTGCGCAACCGCAGGCGATGAGCATCATCATGGGGATGAGGAGGTAATAGTTGCTGGCAGCGGTGAACCGGGTCTCATTTCTGGAGTATGAGTCCCCAGTCGAATATCCAAGGCGGACACTAGTTCCATTGACTGATAACGGCTCCTGGTGAAGTTTCTAGAGGCAATTCGATCTTTGCACGTGCTGACTCAAGCACAATCTCGGCTCGGCTGGGAAAGGGGCAGGGAAACCCTAAACGACGGAAAACTCTGAGCACCGGGGATTTGCAATTGACGTTTGAAAAACTCCGATGGCGTGCTTATCAGGCGTTTCATGCTGCTATCTGTCCGCCAACCGTGGCTTGCATTCCTTGGCTCTACAATGCGTCAAAAGGATTCCATCACACGGTGCTATCTGCATATGTCCCATGTCGACATCCAACTCAATTCACCCAACCCCCCTTGTGATCAGACTATGTACATTTACACACCTGCCATATATACACAATTGAAAACCATGTGCATGCAAAATGCACCTCGATTGGCTCGTTGGGCCAGGTCATGCTGCCCGTTTACTCATGACCAGGTAGTGATAACGCGTCAAACCGAGGATGCAACAAGGCAGCCACCATCGTATGATCTACAGAAGAAAAGTAACCATGTGCTAAATCTCACCGTTTTTCTGCTAAGCATGCAAGATTGACTCAGCCACCAGTCATCTCCCAGCATTCGTCTCAGTCTTGCCGAGTTCGGGATGATGCCATCACCCTGGTCAAATCCTAATTAGCACGACTCGAAATCCCCGAATCCGGGGCCGAGAGAGCGAGAGAGAGAGAGAGAGAGATCACAACCCTGCACTGTCACTCTTGCTGACCCTCCTCCGGTTCAACCACAGCTTGGCCACGTCGTACGTCCCCAGATAGAGCCCACTGCCCAGCGCAGTCCATCCCGCCCGGAACAGCCCTCCGCGAAAGAACCCGCGGATCCCCCTCTCCTTGTAGACAAGCCGTGTCACCGCCCACGCGCCTAGCTTAGCCTTCTTCTCCCCTTGTAAGCTATCATCCCCCCGTCTCTCGCCCGCGGAGAGCATCATCCTCGTCTTGACCACGTCGCTCGGCGTCGTGATATACGCGGCCACCGCCCCTGCGCTCCCCGCACTCGCTCCACTGATCATCCCCGTCTCCAGCAGCTGCTGTTCCTTCCTCGATGTCTGCTTGTCTCCACCTCTTGATGCCCACAGCCTGGCGCGCAGGTGCTCGAACATGGGGAACTGGAGCGCCGTGAAGGGCAGGTTTCGCGCCACGAGGGCCGTGTAGCCCGTGAATAGCCTCCTCGCGGACCCTTTCCCCTTGCCGAGCATGCGGAATGCCTGTATTGATGTCGAGGACGAGGAGGAGGGCTTGTTCGACGCATTGAGCATCTGGGCGTTCTGTTTGATGACTTCTGCCGGGGCGATGACGAGGCACGAGGCCATCTCGGCGGTGGCTGAGGCGGCAGCGTGGATGAGCGGCGTCGGAGCGGAGGGCGCGGCTTGCGAGAAGAGGGTCTTGGTGTTTTCGTAGGTCGAGAAGAAGAGTCCAGCTGCGGGATGGATTGTGTAAGCTATGTTAAATCGCTGTGACGCTGGTGAGCTCACCTGCTGGCACGGTTGCGAGGACGACGCTGCCGATACCCTGGTAGAGGCCTCGGAGGGCCAATGGCTTCCTTAAAGGATGTGAAGCATCTTGTTTGATGTAGTCTTGGCTCTGGTATCGAGTCTTGATGGTATCTAGGGGGTATACGAGGGCATCGATAGTTAACGCTGCAAGAGCACCAGCCTGTATGATGGTCAGCGAGTGTCTGGCGGGCGGCCGTAGTGGAACAAAAGTAACCGACCGCGTAGATGTCTGTCATGATTTTAAGGAGAAGGCATTTTCTTCTATGCGTGCAAAATCCAAAACAGGGCGCAGAGACATTGGGGGTGGCAGAAAACTGCAATTTTTGGTCGCTGCAAATCGCATGTTGGACAAGTTATAGATGGATGACATCATGACGACGATCTCAGGCCACAGCCAACTCTAAGTTTCTACACTTCAATTATATCCAATCGATATTAATGAATTGATGGAAAGAGAAATAAATTGCTAGAAAATTGTTCCAATGCCCTGAAAACAAATGATTATTAGCCATGGGTGTGATTGGAGTATCAACACCACCTTCCAACAATATCAGGACAGACATACAATGCTGGCTTCAAGCCATCCAAACCTTCCCAACACCATTTCCTACTCTTGGAGTCGCCGTTTAAATAACCACCGGACGAGGCAACACCATGTAGCTACCCATCAAACCCCCGCAAAGGAACTCATCGCCTCCATGGCCCCCAAATCCCCATGCACCGCCCTCTCATACTCCGACTCAACCATCTCCATGTACTCCAGCATCCCCCTCGCCAGCCCCAGCAGCCTCCTCTCCCCCTCTTCCGCTGCCTCTTCACCCGCCGCTTGCCCCGTATACGACCTGAACAAAAACTCCCACGCCCTCCACGACCGGATCAGCTGCGCCTTCGTAAGCCGAAACTGACACCTCAGCGGCATCGGCAGCGTGGATCCCGTCGGCGCCTGCGGGAACTGGAACGCCTCACAAATATCCTGCCCGGACTCGTTATCGAGCACTGCCTGCCCGGAGGCGTAGATCTGCTTCCCGCACGCGTGCAGCCAGAAATCGGCGACCTGGAACCGCTCCGGGCTGATGAGGGTGCTCATCTTCCGGGGTATGTAAGTGGTGGCGCCCTCGCGGAACTGGTCCATGCCCGGCTCGATCAGGTCGATGCACGGGATGGCGAGGTGGGAGAGCTGGTGGGTTGCGACGCCGGCGGTGACGAGGCGGGCGAGGAAGCCGCAGAGGGAGAGGACTTCGCCTTCGGGGGGGAAACCCATTGAGACGCCCATGGTGAAGCGGGCTTTGGGGGGAGATGGTTAGTTTATACTGATAATGGGGGTAGAGGGAATGATACCGTCTCTGAATATGCCGTCGTCGTCTGGACAGCGGTGCTCGAAGTCTTCCCAGGAGAGACGCTGTACCCAGCATCAGTAGGTTACTTTCGAAAAGAATGGTAAGCGAGGAATTATTTACAGAGTCACGAAGCCGGCTGAGCTCGGCGAAGAGATTGGCGAGCCGTCCGTGGCGCTCGTCCATCACCTCCCAGGATTTGGCCATGGCGATGGCCTCGGACCATATCTTGTCAAAGGCGCAAAACTCGTACGCGGAGGGACTTCGCACGACTAGACCCTTGATCTTGTTGGCCGCGGCAATGGGATCGATCCCGTCGTTGACACATCGGTGCATGACGCGGGACACATCGTCGTGGGAGTGGGCAGACATTGTAACAGAATATATGTCGAAGGTTATCTTTGGCTTGATGCGTGTTTTGGTTATTTAGATTGTATGTTTGTTGTATGTAGGGTTATCCTTATTGATCGAGGACTACGGGCCTAGATAATATCTTCGTTCCGACAACTGATGCCGTTGCACACAGTCACAGTCGTGCTCGCGGCACTTCCCTCTCTTTCGTCACGCCTGTTTGCGTTCCCAGTGGCCCGTCCCATGTAATGCTATGCTGATGACGTGCCGCTAGAATAAAAATAACAAAGCATTCACTTCCGTGTGATTCGTATGACCGATCATGCCCTCCCCTCCCAATGTCCATTCGCAGTAAAAATGGCAAGCTTGATGAATTCTTCCGCCCGTGTGGCCACTTGCGTTCTCCGTCTCTATGGGTTAGTCTATCAAGAGAAGCAAAGAAAATAGTAGTAAGATCCCAAAAAATGTTTGAAGCCGAGTCAACACCTTGTTTTCCTCCTCTTCTCCCGGCGTACCCTGTCTATAGCATATTAGAAAGCAAGCAAGAAGAAGCTCAGCTCGTAATTATAATCCCCCTATTCCGCCAGTATCTCCAGGCAAGAACTATAACTTGCTCTTCTCTGGCTTGATATCGTCCTGGCATACCACGGCCGCGACTACACAGATATCGTCTACCTTGCCGCCTCGCCAGTTCTCGTCGGGGTAGTATCGTTGCACTTCCTTCGCGAAGGGCCCGTCCAGGCGGGTGTTGATGCTCGCCCGCTTGGCCGCTGCAACCATCTGTGTGACCAGCACGCTCTGCAGCGAGACACGGTTGGTTCCATCGCCCCCGGCGCTCTGTAACTCGCACAGATCAAACAGCTTGTCGCTGACGCGGACACCTTTGTTCTCCGTCATCTCCCACGCACCGGCGCCCACCATGACACGGGATGCCACGCGGAGGATATCCTGGTTGAACAGGTTGTCCAGCACCCCGTCCGTCGCAAACAAGAGGATATCGCCATGGCGGAGGTCGTGCTCGGAAACGTCGGCGTCGCGGGGCAGGTCGCAAAGCTGCATGCCGCCGTAGGTGGACATGCGCTCAGCCATGCGGGGCGGGATCAGGCTGAGCTGGAAGGGAGTGTTGAAGGCGTGCGTCTGGGGCTCCGAGACGCCATGCACAGCGTTGAGCCGCAGGTGTATGAAACCCGAGTCGCCCAGGTTGGCAATGTCGACTGTGCCATCAGGCCGCGCGACGGCGACACAGGCCGTGCTACCACCTGCGCGGACCGACGTATCTCGACATACTGCGTCGTACCCGGTCTGCAGAAGATTGCGCGCCGTCAACTGGCGGCCTGGCTCGTCGTCCTCGTGTGTCTGGGCTGCGTCGGCCATGTAGTTGCATAACCCGTGGGAGAAGTCGGCAGGGTCGACACCTGAATCAACCCAACCGCCCACGCCGTCGGCCACCCCAAAAGCGACGGAGCCGGTACCGTTCACTTGGCTTACGAAGAAGGCATCGTGGCCTGATTCTGGGCGGCCTGCTCGGTTGGCGGCTCTCGATCGGGACGGATCGATCTCTCTCTTCACCTTGGGGTCGAAGTGGTAGACGTGCGTGGTGGGGTGGAACGGGTGATCCTTGGCAATGAAGGATGCGGCGATGTGGTAGGAAAACATATTCGGTGCGCTTGCCCGGAGGGGCGTCGTAGAGTACAATCGCGTGAGGGGACGGCCGTGTAGCGTCCGTGAAGACGTGGCTAGAGTCTTTGTGGTTGGTATCCTGGCGAGCAGTTGCGATCGCACTGGCGCATGGGTCAGCAGGGGTAACTCGATCCGGGCAAGGAAGTGGTATTCGGGGCGTACATTGTGCGGCAGTCCGGCAGCAAGCCGGAGAGGCCAGGGCCATAATCGATTGATAGGCGGGCGAGTTGGTTGATTGGTTGCTTGCTCGGCGGAGGGTATTGATTTCGAGACGGTCTTCGGTCTTCGCCACCAGGGAGGGAGTCTGGGAGGAGGGTGACGGCGACAGATAAGGACGAGGCCGTGTCGCAGTTCGTCTAATCGCACTCACGGTTCGTCTCAGTATTGATACCCAGATAGGATTGCTATAGGCGAGCCGACATGGCCAAACGAGGGGAGGGAGCGGAGAGCAACGAAGAAAAGATGATTTGGAGGTGGTGGTCCGAGCAAACAAGAGCGGAGGCTTCCGGAACCGGGAACTAGCAGAAAACAAAGGAAAAGGATAAGGGGAGTGGAGGTGACTGTTAGTTTTTTCCAAGTGCCTGACGTAGGAGCTCTCCTAGCGCAGGATAATGCTTAATTGGTGGGATTGCTTGCTAGATTGTTCCTGATGGGCAAGTCTCCCAACAATTCAATTAAAAAGCAACGCCTCACCGAAGCCACACCACAAATTTGGGCGCGGCTCAAGGCGGGAACGTCATTTGCAATTGGCTACCTTATGTAATCAGGGTCCAGGTTTTGGCATCATCGTCCGGAGAAGCTTTTGTCCGGCTTCCGAGGAGCTACCGGGCTTCTCCATTTAAAGACTCGTCTCGTACGATCCATCACGATCCCCAAACCAGCGCGGAGACCCGCAGCACGGCATCGTTCGTCCAGGCTGCAATCACTACACCAGAGCCGGACTTCGACGATTAAATACTACCTCACGGTGCTTCAGAGGATGCTGTACTCGAAGCACCCGGAGCCGGTGTCAGAGCAGCCCCATGATCTAGCTTGTAGGTACCCTCTGCCGGCTAATGTTCTTTTGCACTAGCCGAGTACTAATACACATCAAGGGACCGAGACTGATCATGGGGGCTCCGGGTGCTTCGAGTACAGCATCCTTTGAAGCACCGTGAGGTAGTATCTAATTGTCGATGGCCGGCTCTGATGTAGTGATACCAGCCTGGCTGATATTGGTCTCGTGTAGATCCCAACATGGGCAGTTGATGCTATATTTAGGTATGTAGTTAGCTGGACCGCAGTTCCTGAAGCTCGTCCACTTCGCCTGGTTCGGCCCCGGAATAAGGCTGGCTGCACGATTTCCTTTCTTACTATTGGATAACTGCGTTGAGGACAATCAACAGCACAACGGCCAGAATATTTGGACGACTCTCTAATACGCGTCTCTCACGGTTGGCTCATATAGAAAAGCTGCGCTTTGCCCCTCACTATTTCGCACTTTCCCTCTTGTTCCCCAAATCCATCGTCAGGCAGCATCCAAAATGTCGATTCCACGCATCTACAGAAACAATCGGTACATGGGCGTAGGTGGAAAACCATCACCATAAAAATATGCACTTGACTGATATTCGCTCAATAGGAAGGTACTGACAACTATCGACCCGGGGGTTTTCACCCAGTGCACCTCAGTGATGTTCTCGATGGTCGCTACCACATCTTCCGCAAGTTGGGCTCTGGGGGTCAGTCTACAGTCTGGCTGGCTAGAGATAGCAGGTAGATACTGCCCGAGCAGCTCTTCGTCTATTTTCACTGAATTAATCATATTCTTACAGTCAGCGAGAACGACGATATGTCGCTGTCAAAGTCTTCGGGGCAGATGCAGGCATGCACCAGGACAGGGTTGATCAATGGTTAAGGCAAGATCTGCCTCCTCATGCAGGAGCGGGCTTCGTAGAGAGCCCGTCCCTGGGCTCATTTACAATCACCGGGCCTAATGGCAGCCACTTTTGCAAGGTGCTGGAGCCTCTTGGCGACTCACTCTGTACCATCCTAGACGAAGCCTATGAGCGTCGCAGAGAGCTCAACGATTGTAAACCTGCTCAGTGGAAAGCGCAGAAGGGTGATGGTTGGTTGACTGCGCCAGCTAAGACGATCTGCTGGCAGATCCTATCTGGGCTGAGCTTCCTGCACAGCAGGCAGGTCGCTCATCGTGACATTCGGCCTACAAATGTGTTTACAGCGTTGCAATATGATCTTTCTTCATTTCATGAGAATGAGATTCAAAAGTCTGTTTGGCCTACCGATGATATGCAAAATGAGGAGGACGAGGACGAGAGCAACGACGAAGAAGACGACGATGACGAAGATGACGACGACGATGAAGACGACGATGACGACGGTGACGATGACGCCGAGAGTACCATCTCGGATCCCCAAGAACGGCTCAGACGAGAACAAGAAGAAGAGGAAGACAGAAAATGGCTAGAAGATTTCGACCGCAGGCGCCAGAAATATGCAGAGTTTGAAGCAATCGTCGATGCCAAATGGGAGACATTTGGCCGAGGCGATCCGCTGGCAGAGCCTCATTCTGAGGAATGGAACACGGCCAATCTCATGGGTACGCGCAATGATATCGAAATGCTTATACGGGCGGATGGCAAAGACCCTGAGCCAGGCGAGCTCCAGTACACCGTCAGGAGGACAGCTCTACAAGGCCAACTGGATCTAAGCAAACCATTCAAGGTTGTTCTAGGTGACTTGGGTTTCGCCTTGCCCTTTTCCAAGTGTGACAAGTACACGATTGGTACCGAGCATGTTTATCGCCCCCCTGAGGATCTGCTCGACCTGAAACTCACATACAAGGCTGATATCTTCTCCGCGGGCCTCTTTTGCTGGAAGGTCGTGATGCTGGATGAGTTGGTCGAGATGCTGAGCGGGGGTGGCCCTGGATACAGCCGATCTCGCCAGCTTTATGATCTTGTGCGGCGCCTGGGTCCTATACCCTCACAGATGCGAAAGAACTGGAAACAGGCCGACGAGTACATTGACAAAGCCGGCAATCCGCTAGACCTATCGGAACAGGAGAAGTCGATGTACGAGAAGTCATTCGACGAGACGAGTTTTCAGTGGGGGGATATTTGGCATCGGGCGAGGATCCAAAAGCCTTATGATATGCCAGAGAGCGATATGGAGGTCTTTGTCGATTTGATCTTGAAGATGCTGCAATGGGATCCTAAGAAGAGGCCGGAGGCAAAGGACGTACTTCAACATGAGTGGTTCAAGGGGTGTCAGTAAGTAACTGATGAAATACCTAGAGAATTCGTGAAGTCTTCGGCAAGCAAGGAATCTGTCAATCATTATATCTATGCATCTCTCTTTTAGTCCACAGGCTCTACGAATCTGTCCGCCCTGGGCTCAGTCCGGTCGCTAAACTCATCTCCATCCTGTTCCGCTCCGTGATGATCAACCAGTTGATCTTCTTGATTGACCTCTGCTCCTTATCCTTTTTCTCGTACTCCTCACTCTTCTTCTTGAGTTCCTTCTCGTAGTCTTCCCTGATGGCCACGCGCTTCTCTTCCGCCCTGGTCAGCGCCCTTTCCATCTTCTCCTCTGCCCTTTTGGCCTTCTTTTCTATTTCTTTGCCCTTCTCCTCTCGCCTTCGATTCTCCCTCTCCGCCCTCTCTGCCTCCTTCTTTCTCCTCTCTTCGGCCTTTTTCTCTTCTTTTTCTACTCGTCTCTCTTCTTTTTCTGCCCGTCTTTCTTCCTTTTCCACCCTCTTCTCCTGCTTCTTTCTTTCCTTTTCTTCTCGTTTTGCGCTCTTCTCTGCGATGCTGTCATCCGTCGTCGATCTGTCCAGACTGGCCTGGGTATTAGAGCTGCCTCTCGAGATCTCTCCACCCTCCTGTTTTAAATCATTCTCTCCCCTGTTTGAATCTCGTTGCTTGTTCGCCTCATCTTGATTTTTCTCCTCTCGTATCATCTCCTCGTCCATACTTTGCTTCTTGCCATCCTTCCCGACCCTCTGCTCTACCTTCTCAATCCTCCGGTCCAACTCCCTCATCTTCCTCTCGTACTTCTCTTGTGATCTTTGCTTCGCCTCCGTGTACTTCCCCAGCGACTTCTTGCGAGTCTTCATCAACTCCTCCTCCTCCATCTTACGCTGAAACTCGCTCATCTTGACCTGCATCTTCCCCACCACAGAGCTCGGCCTCTCCACCCCGGGCAACTCCTCCAGGTCCAGCGGCGACAGCCACTCCTCCAAATCCCGCAGCCTCCGCCGCTGCACCCCCAGCGTGTGCAGCTCCATCTCGTCGTCCAGCGGCGCCAGCACCCTCAGCCCCGACGTCAGCTTTCCCGTCTGGGCGTCCAAAAAGGGCATCCCCGCGATCTTGGCCACGGCCTCGAGCTTGGCGACGCGGACCTGCAAGCCCACGGGGTGGAAGATGTCGATGTTGGCCCTGCGGAGGACCAGCTCGGTGCGGCCCTCGATCAGCGCGACGTTGCCGACGTCGGCCGCGAGCTCGATGACGGATCCCGCCAGCTGGGCCGTGGGCTCGGGGACCAAACCGACGACGCTGCCGACGAGACCGACGGCGATGAGGGGCGGGTTGTCGGCGACGACGCGGTTGATGTGGTCGAGGAAGCTGAGGAAGGTCTCGCGCGTGATGCCGACTTTTGCGAGCTCGAGGGGGTAGGCGCGGATGTAGGGCGAGCCCTGGGCGGATCGGACGGTGGGGAGGGCGATGGGTTTGGAGAGGATGTCGGTGGCATCTCTAAGGCGTGGAGGTAGGGCTGGGGTCTCTATGCGCCAGCTTGGCTCTCCTATCTCGTCGAAGGCATTGTGGATGAGGCCTGATGAGTTCTTCTCATCTCTGATATTGAGACTGGGGTGGTCTTGGACTGCAACTTCATACGATGGAGGGCTATAGGGTGGCGGGTTATCTGCTGGCAGGCTCGCCAGGTCAAGGGCGGCCTGATCTTCATTTGCAGGACTGGTGTATTGAACTTCTTGTTCTTGTTGTTTCTTGAGGTCTGGCTGGGTGCCCATGTCGATTTCTGAGTTCACTTATCGTCAATTATCTTATGAATAATCTCAATACCGCTGAATAGAATGTATTATATTGAACTGGACAATCCTCCAGATAAATACATACATCACCATCACCAGGATAGACCAGCTATATACACGCGATGGATCAACTGGGTCTTGCGTGGCTTCATGCACTGCCGCCCGCCAAGCCACTCTAGTAGGGCTGCGATCTGGCCCGCGGGCACCGCACCCGAAGCCAAGGATGATATCTCCAGGGTCTGGCATCACACCCACAGCTTCCCTGAAGGGTAATCCTTTCGAGCCTTTGCCGATCCACGGGCATGAGCCACTGCGAGATGGGATCGTTCGTCCACACGATTCGGTCAGGCTTCACGACCATCGCTAGGAAGAACCTTTGTCTGCCTAGCTGACGAGGCCTTCAAGGTCTCAGTGCTATTGGCTATCCATTCAAGCAGTTGAAACGAATCAATTAATCAATTACTGATACATCAGAGCGTTGAATCACGAAGCAGACACCCTCTTCACGATCGCCTCCCTCAGCCCCTCCACACTCTCCACCGTCTCAATCCCAAACTTCTCACACACAATCAGCACATTCCCCCTCTTCCAGTACCCCTCAGGACAGCAAACAACAACCTTGCCCGGCACACGTGCCGACAGCCCCAGCTCAAGCAGGCTGATGGGCGCCTGCGTCGCCGGATGAAAATACACGACCACCAGGTCCGCCTCGTCCTGCCGCGCGAGCTCCCACTCGACCTGCCCGCGGTACGGCGCGAAGTCGACGTCCTCGCGCCACGAGCCGTCCCAGTCGGCCCGGTACGGGTTGAAGAGGGTCACGGGCACGTCTGAGAGAGAGGCGGCGAGCGTCTCGCGCCAGTCGCCCTCGTCGACCTTGCTCGTCGTGCCGGCCAGGAAGACCGACTTGACCCCGCGGGGCTTGTCGGCCGATGGCGCGTAGATGACCTGAGCCATTCTCGGGAGTGATGAGTAGTAGTTCTTGCGGGTGGCTTGGGGAAATGAACGCTTGAGGAGCAGGGATGGGAGTTGCTGCCGAAACATTCGGGGTATTGATTCCCATTTACCAAGTGATTTTGCTTAGATGGAGTGCACCCAGCAATCGATTGGTGGTGTTGAGTGACCGAAAGAGCACCAAATTCGTTTCAGGTTTCCCAGCGAATAAACTTAGCAGTCATCAGGCTGACTTCTTGTCGCAGAAATATCAATGGGTTACACGACAGGGGTTTAATAGGTGGGCTGTGGCTGAAATAAAGCATGGCACACCACCAAAGCCTCCATACAGCCTCCGAATTCAACACAAGATCAAAACAACTAACCCAGTTCTTAACACAATATTTAATATAGATAATATCTTATTTACTGTTCTTGTTGGAAATCTTATTGAGAAGAGAAATGAGGTAAGTTAGGTACCTAATCTCTGTCGTCATGCCCCCCGAATACCTTTTCTTATGAGTTAAGGGTCACCATTGAAAATCTTCATCCAAAAGATTGTACATATTAACAGACGTTTTGTTCATCGTATCCCGAAGACGGCGTAATTTGTCCTCGCCTGTCTTATACAACTTCTCCAGCCGCTTTTGGGTCATGTCGATTTCTTCTGTCCAATTGAAGTTTTGATCACGAGGCCATTCGCATTGATTGAAGGTATCCCTCTCCGTGCCTATTCCCAATTCGACGTCATCAGGTCCTCGTGAACCACGGAATGGGTTCATTCCTTGCTTATACAAGAAACTTTCAATTTCAGCGTCCACCCTGATGACGATGCTCTTCGAGGCGTGTTGGCCTACACGCAAGGAAATGCCTAGGCGGGGTCTGTTCATTCCTCGTTCATCCCAAAGGGCCCTTCCGCGTATTTCTTCAAGGAGGCTGGCGTGACTCTCCGATTCAGAGGAACGGAATCGTAGGAAACTAAGTTCAATAGATCGAATGCTTTGAGGCAGCTCGCCAAGAAGACTCACCAAGTCGTCTTGCTTGACCGAAAAACTGGAAAGTTCGAAGTGCCGTAAGTTTGTCCAACGACCCACGGGCAAGAGGGTTTTCAGCCGAACCAAATTCCAAGCACCGCCATTTTGAGCCATATCTACTTTGAAACTGAAGTTTTTCAGAGACGTAGCCCCTCTCAGGGCGTCTTTTAAAAGCTTCTTAGGCGGATGGGACCGATGGCCATATTCATGCATAGAATTCCAGCTCGTGATGGCAAGGTCAAGCCGCTGAAGGTGTGGGCGGCGGAGAAGCTCGACAAGATTTAAATAATCAGATGTCATTCCCAGGGAGAAAAAATCAAAAGGGAGGCCGCACTCGACTCCATGGGGAGTTTCTATGACGATCTCCTCGAGCTGTAGCTCCCTGGCGGCGGCGAGTGCTCTGAAGATGGCCCTATAACCACGAGTGCTCTGTGAGTATTGATCCCAATCAGTCCGACTACTAAAATCATGTTCTTGTACCGGTTCGAAAGGATAGTCAGATCGTTCGATATCGTACACAAGGTGGGGAGGGAAGCTTCTAACCAGAGGTGTTTCGTAAAATGGCTCGAAGAAGCAACCGTTTGTCGAATGGCCAATGGTTACCCGCCTCAGTGAAGGGAAGCTCTGGATGTGGTACTCTAATGCGAAAATATCATTGTTGCTCTGCTCATTGGCCTCTCGGCCTTTTTGAACATATTTATTGATCTCAGCGATGCGAGAAAGAGGCATGTTAATTCCGCCAAAAGCGGTGAGATCGTCTGATATCAAGCAACCAGTGTTCGCAATTCGATTGCGCTGGAAACGGACCATTTCTGTTGCAAGTTCGTGATCGTATGTTGCTCCGAAAGGAACAAATGAGTCGAATGTGTTTCCTGATGTCATATTGCCTAGACAAAACCGGCTCTGGTCCCAAAACAACTCGACGATTTGGTGTCTAAATTTCTCGCTGCTGGCCACTTCACAGAAAACATCGATATCGCGTTGGTGTGGCGAAAGGAATATCCGGTTGAATCGGAGTCGGAACACCATTTGGGCAAACGAGCACGTTCGGCGCAGGTTTTTGATGTCACGGTTGGGGAGGTCATTAGAAATTTGGTGCAGAACCTCCACTGGTAAATTTAAGAGAAGACGCGCCATTCTGGCTGGCACATCTGCGGATGATGCCGATATTTGGAAGGAGTCTGATTGTAGTCAGCGTGAGGAAGGGCTTCTGGAGATAGAGTGGTGTGCGTACTGCAAGTGAAAGGTGAGACTTGATCAGCAGAGAAAAAGCATGATGCTAAGTTAGCAAAGGTAGCGAGAGAGAAGAGAGAGAAGATGAATAAAAACACGGAAGTTTGTGGTGAGTTGCAGGTGAGGAAGGCCTCAGGCAACAATACACACAGAACAAGGGCCTCATTCATCAGTGTTTTCAAGACGCACCTTCCATTGGTTTCTACATCCTTTCTCAGTTCACTTTGGCTCTCTTTTCTTCATATCAAGGTACACACGAGTAGGTAGCCTACCAAGTGGATGAAATAAAACATGGCACATCAAATCTCTTTTTGCGTAAGGCAGGGACCTCGTACTTATCCAGGTATAATAATAAGATCAGGTATATTGATATTTCATTTTAGTACTAGGTTAATTATTCTGATACTGTGTTAAAATTCAACCCTGATAACGATGTGCCAAGTTTTATTTCATCTACTTGCCTACTAACCCTAATAAACGATACTGACATTTTCAATCCATGGGTCCAGCACACGGCCTCGCTCGCCATGTTGAAGTGTGACTGTAGCGGATCAAATAGGGCGAGATACGTAGGAAATGAAGCAAGTGAGTGAGATTGAGCAGCGAATCACATCAATCAAGCGATGCGTAGGCTGGGCAGCAAAGTCACCGTTGGTATCATGGATGTTGAATAGGTTGAGTTCAATAACTAAATAGCTAACTTATCAAAGTCTCAATAACTTCTGTAGTTACAATATCTTGAGTATATGTAAAAATACGCATATTTCCTGCACCTAGGTAGGTATAATACAATATACTGTTTTATCAGTAAGGTCGGTAACGCCTTTCGATACTGGGGGCAAAGATGAACGCGGAGCTACATATGGACCATGTAGCCAACACGATGACGAAAGAGCTCGAGGCGTCATTTCCCAATAGAGGGAGGAGCCGACAAACAGACAGTGAAGGCTACCAGGTGAAAATAAAGCCTCTATCCCTGCAACCATAATTCATCCCAAACGCCTCGTCTTGGTTCTGACACGGATTCCAAGCGACGCTAAAGATCAGCAAGCTCTAGTGTTTTAGCTCCATCTACAAACTGCCTCATCAGTTTGACCTTGTTGATGATGATCAAATCAACGCCAGCTTTCGCTTGAATCTAAGATGTCATTAGCATCATCCTTAGCAGCCACATAGCATGTGTCCTACCTCAACGCTGGCCCCATCGTCGTTTAGCGGTCCGTACGATGCCGTGTATAGTCCCTGGCCTCTGGCTAGCCCTACAGTTCCGGGGCTGTGAACAAAAGGCTCTGATGACATGGCCACGCCATGACGCCCGAATCTGTGAGCTAGGCGCATCGCTGTCTGCAGGGACGTCGCTCGCATATCGCCGGTGGGCCAGTTCGACGAGTCGTTGAGAAAGAGTATGGGGTAAATCTGCTGTTTGACAGCAAGGACCATGCAGATGTCGGGGCTAAATGAAGTGAAGATTATTCGGCGATTGCCGGCACGGGCGTATGTTACGGAGAGAATGGTATCAAGGAAGACGTTGATCTCAGTCGCGTAGTTGTCCATTTGGAAGTCGGCGGCCTCATAAAGCATGGGATATTCTGGATACGTTTCAGCAACTCGTTCATCTGCTAACTGTGTGCAAACATACTGAGCTCAATGTCCAACGGAATGTCCTCTGGCAGGCTACAGAAGAGCTCCTCAAGCGTGATGAATGGTTCATGGATACTGTGATGCCTGAGATTTGGTTTGTATCCCGGGTAATTGAGTGTGTTCTTCATGTGGTCAGTAAGGGCAGCCGTGGCGCTGTCCAATGGGGCACAGAGCGACATGCGACGAGTGTTTCGCAGGGATAGAGGACGCTCGCGCTCGTCCCATGGCAGCCTTTTCCTCGGCTCCTCATGCCAAGTCGAGGATGTTTGAGCGTCGCTGATAGCCATAAACTAAAAGAGCATCAGTAACGGTCCCTAAAGGGCTTCGATAAGAGGCTATTACCTGCTTGTAGGTCAGAGTATGCATTGGCGCATCAGACCCCTTCTCTGCTACAAGAAAGTCGTGGTAGATAACCGGCACATGGTCCTTGGTGAGTTGGACATCTACTAACAGTTAGTGATCACAATTCTGGGAGCGACAAATGAAGAAGTTTCTACCCAGCTCGACGACGTCGGCTCCCAGCTCCTTGGCCGTGAGGAATGATTTGATCGTATTCTCGCCGATTTGCAAGGAGTTAAACCTAGTATTTTGACCGTTGCCTGCTAATGTTAGAAAAGTTTCTATTTGCAATGACTCATAGGAATTTAAATATACCGCGATGGCCACCGAGACGTGATGACTTTTCGAGGGCCAATGTTTGAGATGTTCGAGGAGGCGAGCAAGCACCGTGATAAGGACGAGCTATGACAGCTGAAATAACGACGCTGCCGACATGGCCAAATTTATCACTGACGAGCGGGATACTATAATCACGAATCAGCGTTTCCCTCTTGCTGCCCAAGGATGCTCTCAAGCTTCCAACCAACGCGACGCCTGTACCGATGGAAGTCTTGTCAGCCAGATTGCTGACATTCAACACGACTGCCGCATTGTGCGGATCATTAGTTGTAAAGCACCAAGGCCGGTCTGAGTTTTCCGATAGGTATGGGAGGAGGACGGTCTTCTTTTGGTCGTTCCCTACGAGAGAGATGGAAAGCTCTAAGCTTGTGTCATGAACCTGAAGCGGCGAGATGCGCCTCTTGTACGGTGTAATATCAACTGCGGTGGTAGTCCCTTTCCACATGTCCAGTGTGCCGAGGTGGACTAAGATGACCGAGTCTGATGGGGACCGCTCTGGGAGGATATTGACTATGCCTAGACGCTGGTCAGACTTTGGCTGTAGCTTAGATGACCCGTCGGACTTGATGGCATCAACCACTTTCATATGTCCGCGGTACGCCGCATGGTCCTTAGCCAACCAACCCCGATAATCACGGATCTCAGCTCTGGCGCCAGAGTCGATCAGCGCCTCAACGACGGCATGGTGTCCTTGCACGCTGGCAGTAGTAAGAGCTGTCCACCCCCTGCCTCTCTCCCGGGCATCGATGTCCACTCCGAGAGCAACAACATCCCTAACCAACTCTGCAAGTCCCTGCTCCGCTACGGTATGCAAAATGGTGCGACTTGACCTGCCCACAAATCGCACACCCCAGCCCTTTTTGATCAACAAACGGGCGATGTCCAGAGATCTGGAAGCGATAGCTGTGTTGAGAAGGTCTGTCATGCCAGCCGGCTGCAGTTTCCCGCAGCAAATCGGAGTCTCGCAAACTCCCAGGAGGAGCGCCGCCACAGCCGTATAGCCTCTTTGAACGGCATAGTCTAACGGTGTCAAGCTGAACTTGTCAGGACTAAGGCAAAGCTTTCCTAGAAGACTAGCCTCGGCCGAGCCCTGCATAACGGATATTATCTCGCGGCATACTCCGTCGAAGCCGGAGAGCGCAGCGTAGTGAAGAGGTAGACGCCCCAGTCCATCTCGGCTCTGTAAAAGATCAAGTTGAGTTGGGTGCAGCAGCTTCAGTATCTGGCCAAAGCTAGTCGTGGCGGAGGAACTGTCAAGTGGTGGATCAGCCCGACTAAGGTGCTGGATAATCCGTTGGAGGTAGTCCGGAGGTGCAAGGGAATTTGGTTTGACTGAGCTGGACCGCAGGCTCTTCAGAAGCTTCATCTGGCAGCTAGAGGATCCATAGACGGTAGCGACTTGAACTAAGCTGACGAGGACTGGCTGTCGTACTTCCGAGGACTCTGGGACATGGAGACTCAGGGCCTGCTCAAGTTTTGAAGCATCGTCGTTGTATAAATATCGGAGTATGTCAGGCGGAAATCGGCCAAACCAACACTGCTCCAGTAGCAGCGATCGGGAAGGGGACTCGCCGTTTGCTTCTGCAGTCTTCTGAAGAGCCTCTTGGACGTGCTGTAAGGTCACATTGATCTCGAGAAGAGCCGAGCGGTCTTTCCATGGGTGCTTGAAGTGGGCTTTGATACCCTTCACCTCGGCGTCAGTGTACTTGATTGCAGCCTTGTCAAGAATACGCGACACTGCGTCCTGGTTGACCCTAAAGTAAGACTCCGCTTTGGCTATTTTATCCGCAATCTCCAAGAGCGAGACCTTTATGTCCTACAGCTCGGTGCATGAGACGCCCTGGCAGTCATGAAGCACGCGATGGCCAATCCGGATCCCCCACCGCTGCTGAAGGGCCAGGAACTGTGTTTCGATCTGTTTATTATACGACGCTAGGAACATGTCCACAATGCGGGTTTCAAAGCGGATGGCCTCTCCGAGTTCTAGTGCAAGCGAGACAATTAGCCGCGAAGAAGAACGTGGGAGGCTGGCTTCCTGGACTCACCTGGAAGAGACGACTCAGCGTCGGCGAGGGCCTTGAGGCGGTTGTAGTCGACGTAAGACTCAGTCCAGGCTGGGACCCGCCGCAGATGCAAGTTGCTGCCAAATCGCATGTTGTATCTCGGTCCTTGTTGTATCTCGGTCCTTGTTGTATCTCGGTTCTTGCTGTATATCGATCCTTGGAGACTTCTGCTGATCCGGGGGCGGGTTGCTAGCGATATATTAAAGGTAATAGATCATGACGGAGGTGCGATGGCGTAAGGGGATGGATAAAGAGATGGGAAACGGCCGAGGAAGCACGGTCTCCTTTGTCCCCCTCAGCATTTGACTACCCTCATCAGCATCCGACGACCAAGGTGAGCTAGGACCCAGACGCGCATTGTCATCACCCTAGCTAAGCATTTGATACCATCTTACCAACCATCCTGAATGCTCCCCTTGGTAATGACGGCCGATCCATTCCCTAGAAGAGGTATTACGGGTGACTCAACGACGTTCAGGACAAAGTCGGCTCAGCCAAAACAACTCTACGGTCTAGCGTGGATACAGCCACCTTGTATGTGCACTTCATCTTAGTTCTTGTCTCCTTTCTGCCTCGCTGTTTGTATACTAGTGCCTTTCGCCTTTTCTGCACCTCCTTTGCGCATACATACATCCTCCTCGTTATGAAGTTGTAAGTTAAGTACACGCTGAAATACTTCAATAGTGCGATATGGATCACAGAATACCCCTTATTCATGCAGTGAAACCGACAACATCGACTTCACCTATACAATTCTTCTAAAGATATCGACCTCAGATCATACTCCGCTGACAACAGCGATTGTCAACAATACATAAGCCACGGCATGCTTAACCTTTTACTCGAAAAGTGGGACAACTGTAGCGTTGTCCTCGCCTTAAGGGGCTCCGCCTACTTGTGATTGTTGCGCCGTATGTTATTGAGAGTCCTTAAACCCGCCTGTTGCTTTATTGAAAAGCCACATAACAACCTCGTGCAGCCAGTCTTTCCCATAATGATACTACTAAAGACTGACCACGTCAAACTCAAGCGCGACGCAGTATATAGCATCGGCGGCTTTGATACCCTGCTCTCGCAACGTCCTGATGTGACTAAGGATATGGAAGATATTTTTCTCCAGTTCATGCCATTGTTGCGAAACCAGGCGACACTACAGAGAGGGCGCAAAGAGAAGATGATAAAGATGCTTTATAGCTTGAGTTTTAACGCGGCGGGCTCGTTCGTCGAAGACGTGGCGTTGTCGGATGTTACTTGGTACTCCTTGGCAAGCTGTTATCAATAGATTTATGGCGTTCGGCCGTATTTTGGTATGTGATGACGAACTATTTTCAATGGGCTTGTGGCATTAAGCTTCAAACTTCTGGAGTGTCTGGATTGTGCTTATGCGCCCCCCAATGCAAGGGGCCAGGAATAGCTTCCCATTGTCTCGCCGCAAACAAGAACTGCAGCTATGTAAGTAAGCCTACTGTTGGATTGCACAGCAGATGACTCTTTTTTTCAATCATCGTCACAATTGCTTCCAATGGTTTGCTTGTTTTTGCTTTATGCAGCTGTATTATCCTCCATCTGTCAACTCGCACCTAAGGTGGGAGATAATTAACAGTTGAGGTCCAAGATGTGCTTATGATGAGATACGAAGATTAATACGCCTGAGAGGTTTCGCCTCAGAGGGCTCAGTTCGCTCTACCGCGCCGTACACTTCGCTCACTTATCTGTCTCGCTTAACCTTGTGTGATAGACCGACTTGAAGGCCAATTTCTCCAAGTGTTCAGCATCCTATCTGCAGTAGCTAAAACCTAGTCTACCAGGTCAGGGTTGTAAGTACTTCGTAGGAATGCATAGTATTCAAAACTTATTGTGTGCTATTGGTTGATATGCCATTGTGCCTACTTGGTATTAAGTCTTCTGGTGTTCAGCGTAAGCCGAATCACCGCCCGCACCGCCTATAGGTCGGATATCTATTTAACTTTCGCATTTTCACATTGGGTATCCCAGTTGGTGCATCGAAACAGAAAATGAACCTTGGTTTGGCCACGGATCTTCTTCTTGGTGGAGAGGACCGTCATAGCATAAGATGCATTAATTGATTTAATAACCATCTTTATAGACAAGTAGTATATCTATATAGAAACTGTTTTAAATTCTAACATACTAATAATGTTGAAATCTGAGGTTACTTGCAGTGGTCTTAAGTTTGATGAAACAACCTTGGAAATAGTAAGATCCAATCGTGTGAACATACATCGAAGACAGCTACATGAGACTGACTTACTCACGACAGCATCGCCTTAGCAGCATTCCCCGCAATATTTTTAGCAGACCAGGTGAATGAGTCCCTTTGCGTCCTTTTTGTAACTTCTGTAAGCAGGGAGGATTCCCACGATGCCCTCCATTCCACATGGCGGGCGATGCCCAGACTCACAGGAATGTAAAACGGCTAGGTATTCGTCCTTATGTAGTGGCGATACGCCACTCGTTCCTCAAGTCATCTCATACAAAAACTTTTTTCAAGTCTCATGTCAACCTCGTGTCGGATATATAACCCGAAATGTCTCGCTCAACAGCGACCCCTCATTCCTTAGCCAGTATCTCTCTTTCAGCTCAGACAAGCCTCTTCCCTTAAATAAGAGGAACCTTTGGCCGAGGCAAATTCACATATTCCAGACTGCATAGCCTGTTGCGGGGTTGTGAAACCTTGCCTTCATGACAGGTCAACGCCCCGCCTGACAACTGTCATACCAGGCACATCTTGCTACTGACAAGCATTAACATTCGTTTATATATAAGTCAGGGCCCCTTCCACCTACTTCAGGCCTTCTCCTACCCGCCGCTATCAAGAACCAGGGTTCATTAATAGTGAACACTCCAAGCCCACATTTCCCATCAAGCATTGGCCCTAAAGTCGGTCCCTCTCCTACAATCAGAGCTCGTCCACCCATTGATACCCATCATGGCCAAACAGCTCCTCTTCCTCGCTCTCCTCTATGCTGTCTGCATGGAGGCTTCGCCAGTAGGGCTGGCTATCTCAACCCCGTTGCCTCAAGCGACCTCAACCACCCTGCCTCCGGCTCCCACCCCTCCCACAAAGCCCGCCTTTGATATTTCCACTACTGATCCCACGGGCCTGCCTCCCACACCTACATCGGACGACTGCAGTACCCGGACCGTCTGCGTCGACGGCGTTAACGAGTGTGGCGAACCGTGGGGAACGTAAGCTTTTTCCCCTCCAGTCCCCCCTCTCCCCCTCGAAGTGTCTCACCACCGTTGACCCTTTTTCCAGCTGTATCCCAGACTGCCAGCCCTGGAACATCTCAACGCCTCCCTGCTCAACATTCACTCCGCCCCCCATGTGCGGCGACAGCGACCAGGGAATCTGGCTGTGCAAGGACTTCATCGACCCCTGCCATCAGATGTACGGAGGGTAAGTTGATTTGACCCCTCCGCCCTCCTAATCTTTCTGTTGCCAGTTTGCTGACGCGTGAATGGAATACAGGTGCTACGACGTGTGCAAGCCTGAGCCATCATGGTACACGCCACCCTGTGACAAGCCGTGGCCGACAGATGGTAATATCTGGGGGGCCGAGCCCACGCCGTGGGAGCCTAGTGAGGTCCTGCCTGACCCGGATACTGGGCTGTGGGATGGACCGAGACCGATGCCGATGCCTTTGGTGGAATAGGTGTATGATTCTACCGGGCTGGAGGATTGGGTGACAATATGGTGCGGATTGAACTAAAAAGTACCTGTTATCATATTAAATGAGAATATCGCTCCTCCGCCACGTCCTTGTATGAGTTTTACTCCAGATGGAAAGACATATCATGATGCCGTACCATTCGCATTGGGAGGGACTGTGAAGATGTACTGCATCACGCCTTTGGGGCTGGCCTAGGCCCCATCTTCTGGCACACCTGTAGTGTGTGATTGAGCACATAAAGCAGCGGTATGGAAGGAGGCTGGCTTGGTGGTAGAACGGCCGTTGAGTGCGCAATCGATTCGCCTTGCCATACGCATTTCTCAACTGTCTAGATCAATAGCCCAAAATTATCACGAGCAATGATGTTCTACTGCTAGCGAGGGAGAAGTCGTTTACATATCGATTGTGTGCGTGCGAAAGAAGTACGATAGATCAGGCCTCGTAGTACCGAACCAGCGGAAACTACATACAGGGTGAAAGGCAGGGTTATGTTCCCATATCGATCAAGGCTAGGGATCATAATAAGCAACAATTGGAAATATTTGGGGTAGTGAGATGGCGAAGCAGAATCTTGCTAATCTTTCTAGTTGTCGGTTCGGGAGCCACAAAAAAAAAGAGGATGAATCCTGCATATGCACATGCGTAACCAGTCTCTCCTCCAGTTCAACTTGACCTCAAATTGCAACAGGTGCCAGAACTTCTGATAGGCATGACTCACCTTCCTGCAACATGGATCGGTGCGACAATTGGGGTACCATGCGAGATCAAACATGTCGCCAGGTTATGTCATGTCGTTTGGCAGTACAACGGGACGCATCAAACCGGGTTTAGGAAGGGGGTGGCAAATATCCAGGTGCTCAATCATCATACGAGTTCATCGCCGCATGGCACGATCATTCTGCCACCTATATTTCATTACTGATGTCCCAGGCCAACGGCCTCGCATGTCGTATGTGCGCTGATGATGAGTACTAACGGAGCTCAGCTCATGGGGTTCATGGAACCGCAGAACAAATAATCTTGCGTCCTGTGCTAACAACCTGGCAAATTCAGGGCCTCAGTGATAAGGCTTAGCAAGTACTTTCAACAGATTGGGTTGTTCTTCGTGCTCGAACCGCACCCAGACTAGGCAGCAGCCGCTGAGACACTCCAAAACTCCTGATCCCCATGGATCAAAAGCAACCGCTGATACCTGCGACACGGATCTGCGGGATCGACTTTCAGGGTTCATACCATTTGCACAAGGTATATCCATTCCAATATGTGCTCAACCTCCCTTCGGCTAAAAATAAGCATGCGAGCTTGTAGCAGTGGAACTCCGTTCATAATTTTCAGCAGCACCAGGGAAAGCGCCAATCGGGGTAATCGACGAGCTCCGGACGTCATCATCTGAGCT